CGATCCTCTAATACCTGTGTGCAAAGTTAGATAGGTGCAAAGACTTCGCAAAGAAAGAGCTGTTGTCGGTCAGATAGCTAAGCGAGGCAGGCGGTCGATCCCCATTTAGCGAAATGCTCTAAAATGAGAGTGCGTTGGAATCCTGGAGCAGTGTACAAAAAAATAAAAAGGATAACGTCTAACTGGCGTTACAAAATTTCATGAACCCGACTCAATCAGTTGGTGCCGTCAATCTGCAACCGAAACTATAAAATCCGGCATTACTGAAAATATTGATTAAAGACACAAATAAAATTATTTATGTTAGAGTATCTGTCCTACAAATTGAAAGCTGTTTATTTAGAATTTTCATGTTAGCTGAATTTTCTACGAAAAACTGTTTGTTTTGGATTGTAAAACTGCTCATATGCTTTAAATAACATTCTTGTCGATTGATTGATCATTTACCGGTTATGCAATTCCCACTAACATATGATCCAGACCATTTAAGTTTCAATAATCAACAAAAATGTAATACAATGACAGGATGAATTTCATGGTAGTACTATCTTTACTGTCGCAGCACATATTTACATGTCAATAACAGTTTTTAGATAACATGAATCATTTTTTAATGATATGTGTGGATTTAGGAAATTCATTCGGTAAAAAGCTTTAATCGAAGGAAGTCACGTACCTATATTTCCTAAATAGTGAGATAAGATCAGGCAATTACAAAATTCACAGAACGACGAGGGAACTAACAAAGCTATAATGATACAATTAATTTATAATAAAATAATTCAATCCAAAAAATAGTAATGAAATAACCACGCCGCTGGAATTGTATGATTTTCTAACAGGTGGCTGGATGACAACAGTGGGCTTAAGAAAGCGCAGTTGCCACCATTACCTCAATGTATATTACCCATGTCCAGCTGAAAGATTTACGTACTGTATACTTTTGGTCACATTGTTTTTTAACAAGTGGTATGATATAATGTTCATAGTATACATTCCTTTCAAATTAAATTATCTCTTGGATTTTCGGGGATTAATTTTCCAGGTTCCGAGATTTCCATTTTAATTAAAAGAAATTAACTACTTACTCTCTTAATTACAGTTATACTTGTATCCCATAAGTTTTGATAGAGAACACAAGAGAAATTGAGGGGAATTAATTAATTTGTCACAAAGGTCTGACAAGTGAACAAAGAGAATCATTTCAGTAGAATCGCGTGCCTATATTAACCATAATGATTATACTTGTAAATTCTGGTTTCTATCCGTGTATCAGAAGGATTGAATATACTCTTGCCAATGTTAAAGTGAATATGGGAATTCGATGTATTCTGTAATTAAACGGAAATAGATTAAAGAAGAATTATACAGTAAGCTTCGTAGCTAAATATAGAACAAAATATAGCCATCCATTAGGTATTTCAAAGATAATTGACTTCATACAAAATATGTAGAAAGAAAAATTATTTTTTTGGTAATGATCAAAAATAATTGCAATTAAAATTATAAAGTTTTACTGTCAAAACCAAATTTTGGTAATTTGCTTAATAAATGGCGGCATAAAATGTACGATAAGGCACATATGCTTGACTTTTTTAAATTGCCATAAAGACATCAGAAAGCAGAACAGAAGGGTACTGCTCCAATATTTAATGTCAATAATCTCGGGCAAAATTCAGGCGTATTTAATTATAAGTTGACAGTTTTTTGAACCAGTGGCAGGTGTTTTAAATTGGTAACAAAGCCGTAGATCGTATAACACGTGCTAAAAATATTCTAATTAGAGGCATAACAGAAACTTCCTCGGGGGATGCACAACATAGAAAAGATGACGACGCGAATATGGTTAAGGCTTGTTTTGGAAACTGTTGGCTGCCAGGAGGAGCAAATCACCTTCAACAGAGTCGGCAAAGAGAACCAACTATTTCCCCTAATGATAAAGGCAGTAATGAGTTCGGAATACCATGTAAAAGATATTCTGAGAAATAAAGCAAAACTTTAGGAAACAAAGCAACGGAAAACTTCTCAATACTTGACGACAAGACGCCAACGCAACAAGTACGTTTAAAAGGACTTTAAAAAAAGAAAGTATGAAGTGAACTAAGAACTCGCAAAATAACGGTGTGCATGATTTAACTAATAAACACATTAATGGCACTTCCAGAAACGCGAAATTTTGTTTATAATTTTTCCACCGACAAATTTAATAACTGGCTATTTTTATATACAAATTTAGATTCACGTTTCGCTAAGTTTGGCGAATTTGTATGCACAGTGCAACTTCTTAAACCGAACATTATTTGTATTGATGAATTCTGGCTTAAACCCTCAATTCTTGACTCATCTGTTACTATAAATGGATATACAATATATCGTAAAGACAGAGAAAATCATGTGGGTGGCAGTGTATGAATTTATTTATCTAATATTATTACAACTTTCAAAATTAACATTCGGCTATTAGATATTATTAGCTATTAATAAATTAGCCAAAAGGAACAATAGTCTTTATGCTAAAAATAAAAATAATATACAGGAGAACTGAGACTTTTAGTATAAAAATGGCCGTTCTTTTCTTTATACTTTGTATAAGTTTGCAGCTAAATCAGATTTTAATAACGTAGGTTTTAATTACAAAGTCACAGATATAATTCAGTAGATATTAAATTTTTTAAATTAAGTCTCTAACTGAAATACTCAATCTAGCTAAACTGAAAATTTAAACTGCGTAATAAATGTCAGGAAGATGGAGGATAAATTTTTATGAATAAATTTGCTATAAACTGCATCCCATTTCTCTTCAATATTCAATTTCTTATTTAACACTAGCAACATCTGCTAAACTGGTTCCTGGTAAATGTATTTAAAATAAATAATTTTATATTTTTCCCTAAATATTTTGCAGGAATGGATTTTAATTCTAATCCATCTAAACTTTTCTAACCTGTATAAACCTTTTTTAAATTATTAACGATTTTACACTAAAATGATTTTAAACATTAAATGATAAACACAAAATAAAGCTAAATTCTATACAGGGTGGTCCTTAAGTAATTGTACAAAAAGAAACCGCAGATTTTATACTTTAAAATATTACGATTTAAGCCAACTTGCTTTAATAAAATGTTGATTTTAAAAAAGATACAGGGTGTTAAAGTAGAAATTTAAAATTTTATTTTTCGCTATAACTTTCATGTTTGTAAACATTTATGTATAAAAATTTACAGCTGGGTACTACTTAATATCAGGAATTATAATTTGATGCATACTTTGATAAAGATGGCGCCACATATGCCACATACGTGGCATACATTTGCACTTAACTTTTTTGTTCTTCAAGTTACCGGTACTTCTGATAAAAAATATTAAAGATACATTATTTTAACAAAAAAAAGGTATACTTGTTAATAACTTCAAAACTCAACAGTTTTCGAGATAATCGCATTTTACAAATCAACTGCATAATTCTGATTTAACGCAATTACTCGAGGCAATGAAAGAAGAATAGATAAAAACATCAATACTTCTGAATTTTGTTATAAAATACCTTTAATCAAGTCAATAGTTAACGAAATATTAAATAAAATAAATATATCAGACGGAAAAATAATTATAGGATTTGATAAAATAACAGAATAATTGGATTTTACATCAAACATTTTACGTTTTGTATTAAATTAAAGTCATAATCAAAACATTTTATTAACAAACCAAATTAAAAAATAGTTAAACTAAATAACATTAAACTTTTTGTCAAAGTAAGTGTTTGATATGTCCACCATTTTTTTAATTCATTTGTCAATACATTCCATAAAATATCGTCTTATATTAAATAGCATCATAAGTAATGTTTTGAAATTTTTATGAATTAAATAATTATATTATTATCTCACCACAAGAACTACCACGATGACTACCACGAACAATCCAACGTTCAGGAAAGTGTATTTAAATACTGTCTCACTCCGCTTTCTCTGTAATGTAATGGTGTACCATTTTGTAGAAACCACATATTTTGCCTTAAGTTTAATGACAATTCTTCCAATAAATCAATAAAATCATTTTATAAAAAATGTAAATAAATCTCACCATTCAAATTGAAAGGTAATTCGTATATCCGTAAAATATCATTCAAAATTTATATTTAAAATGCATGACCTAGGGTTTGGAACCATTGATAATTATTTTTTACGAATATGCGAATTACGTTGCAATTTGAATGTAGTAAAACTTTTTAAGTTTTTATTTGTTTCTAGCAAATAAATTTTGTGAAAACCTTGTGAAAATTTCTTGAGAAAACTTACTTAGACTGCATGAGTCTGGGAGTACATCCAGTGATATTTCAGAGGTTTTCTGATTTTTACAGACTTTATTTAGCCTCACTGTCATTGTAGAGTTTAGTTTAGTATGGTCAGGTCGAGGATCGGGCCCTGTGTAAGTTTTGACCGATGTTATGCAATTTTTAAATATTTCATTTACAGTTAATTGACCGACAATATTAATTGATATTGACCAATTTAACTTAAAACAGGTATGAGCGTATAACTAAAGCAGGAAGAAGAAGCAAACACACTATAATATGTAGTATTTATTCGAAAACAGTTTTAAAACTTTATATTTGAAAATATATACTCTAATATCATTTGTCGACCCTCGTTTGAGTGGGATGCGGGATGTAAAGTTCCGTTTTCTAATAATAAAATAACATATATCATGCTTCCACATAATCTGTATGAATAGTACTAAAATGTATTATGTTCACCACTGGATTATATCATAAAAGTTATATTTCAAATATAGTATAGCTTTATAATATGTAGAAACTTACTGAAATACGGAAATCCTGAATTTTATCCTGTATTTAAAATTCATTTGTTCTAAATCAGTTTCCACAAACTAACTAATTTTATGAAAAATAATAATAGAGGGTTTAGCAAAAATTATAATATTTCTATAAATTAGTTCAGTTTAGTTTTAAATAATACTTTTTGTTTTTTCAGATTACGCAGCTATATGGTAAGAAATGTTTTATTTTTATTAAATGGATAGTAAGTAGGTTTGTTGCTAAAATAGTTCCTGACAGGTTGGTACTGGTGTGCTAGTGTACGTTTATATCGGAGACCATCGCATCGTATCCTCGCCTAGAGCATAACATCGACAGTGAACGCTCAAATTTAATTATGCATTTGTTTTACCTAGTGATTGATAGAGTATGATCCTGTGATCGGAGCGAGGGTCGGCGCCTCATTGTGAGCGCCCACTTAGAGTGTCAATCTTTCTATTCTAAGCAGAAAAAAAATATTCTAAGCAGAAAAAAAAAATTGAGTAGTACAATATAAAAAGATAATATAAAATTCAGACTTAAGTATCCTTACAAATTTTAAGCATTAAAATTATTATTAAGGATAGGATAGGGATAAAACATGGACACTCGTTTCTCGTTTAGGGACCCATCAAGACATTGCTTTTAAGACAAACTAGATTAGGTCACGGATAAAAGGTAATAACAAATGGGGTAAAACAGAGCTTAGGATTCTAATTACAGTTAAATATTGAGCTTACTTTCGCAAATAAATTCCATCAAACATTCATTTACAACTCTTATATTTAGAGATAGCAGATAGCACATATTGTACGGAGGAAAAATTTTGATGTTAACTAAATTTTTTATTAGATCTTCAGTTTGTCTTGTGTTTTTTTTACATTCGAAGAAAATGTGATTTAGATCCCCTTCTTTTTGACAGTCTGGACATAAATTTGAATTTACGATTTTTAGTTTGGACAGATGACTAGGATAGCAGGCGTGTCCAAATTTTATTCTAATTATGGATGTTATATACCTTCGTGGAACAGAATAATTTTTGAACCAATAATCACTTGGGATTGAAGGCTGTATAGAAGCATATTGCGAGGAAGAATGCGTACTATATATATGCCAAGATTGTTTCCATTGAAACTGACATAGGAAGGGCTTTCACTAAAGTTTTACCTAAATTTGATTGTGATACCGTATGTTTTCGAGGCACTGGATGAGGTTGAATGCAAGAATCTCGATGCCTTTATTTTCTCGCTCTCTTGGAGTTTCGAATGTATCTGACTACCTTCCTCTAATTTCATATGTCACTTAAAATTAGTGTAAGTTATTGTAATCTACTGTAAGTAGATTTCTTGGGACCAACAACGAGCGCACACCACCTCTTATTTTTCTAGGTTTGTGTCTCTTTGAAATTTCTTCTCTAATTGCAGCAGTATCGAATATGCTTGCTGTTTTGAGTCCCCTAATAGGCTTGTATTAGAATTGAAGGGTATTTTAACTTCAAATCTTCCTTCGTTATTCCTTTATTACGGCTCTTTTATAATATTCTTCATACTCTTAAAATTCTATTAAATTGACTGAATCTTTTAAAATCCATTAAAAGTGGACTACTTATTCAATTTTTTTCGTGAGTGGTGAAGATTTCATCAGCTTTTTCCTTTTTAAGGGCGGTGTCTGGTGGTTTTCTAAATGATACAGAAAATGAGGACCTTTAAATCAACACCTCGTGTTTTTCAAATTGGGACGTTTTGTTCATTAAGAGCTTTCTCGGTTATGTTATTCTTAGTAGGTTAATATCTCCAATGTAATACCATTGAGTTTTGTTGAATATCAGCCACCCTGTAAACTACATGTTTTGGTAATTTTCTTGGGTCTTTATTTCTTAACCAGCTTAAAACTGCTAAAGAATCTGTCCAATAAGCAACGCTGTGCGCAGTTATGGAAAAAAGTTTACAAAGATTTTTAGCAAACCTTGAACCCATTATCGCACCTTTAAGATCCAATCGAGGAATAGTTTGTGGTTTTAATGATGCAACATGTGTTTTAGCTTCAATCAAAGTACCGTCTATGACATCTTTTTTCATTATTCTTAGATATGCCACACAAGCACTTGTGTGTTTGCTGGCATCTACAAATATGTACATTTGCGTATTGGTATCCTTCCAGTTTTCAAGTTTATTAAGAAGGTATCTTGGGATTAAAACCTTCTCTATTTGTGGAATCTGTTTTAACCCAACAAGCTAGTTATTGGTTATTGGCTGATTCCAAGAAATGTTACTCCTTCATATTTCCTGTAAAAGAATCGTTACATAAAGCGAAGAGTTTGCTAACAAACCTAAAGGGTCATATACAGACATTAATATTTGTAAAATTTCTCGCTTTCCTTTATTACATTTCAAATTTAAAATAAAATTATCTCCCTTTAAATCTCACCACATTCCTAGAACCTTCTCCATGCTCTTATTGTTTCCTAGGTCTATGTTGATCTTTCATGGTTATTTCAGTGGGTGGTGTTCATAATTTTCAATAATTTACAGTTTTTTATTTCAAAATTTCCGTTGGTGTGACTTAAGGCATTTTCTTTTGCTAATTGGATGGCTTCATCCTCAGTGTCTGTTGATTCTAAGAGATCATCGACATAATAATTCTTTACTATGGAATCAACAGCACCAAGATGTTCTACGCTAAGTTGCTTCGCATTAGTGTTTTTAACAAATTGTGCACAACTGGGTGAGCAGGTAGCCCGAACGTCATCACAGTCATGACATAAATTTTCAAAGGATTATCAGAACTATCTTTGCGCCATAAGAATCGTTGTGTATGTTGATCTTTTTCTATTTTACCTACACGAAGAAACATTTTCTTGATGTCTCCAGAAAAGCCAATCTTTCTTTCAGGAAATCGTAGGTTGGTTATCTCCTTTAAATAACATAGATTTTAGGATATTCCCTGTACGGTTACTTCTGCATCCCAAACTAATGTGAATCTTTCAGGTTTGTTAGGATTAAAGGCCGGAAATATGGGAAAATACCATGTTTTTCTTGATGCTCTAAGAGTTCTTATTCTGAAAGTTTTCTAATGTATTGCTGTTCTAGAAAATCTTGAAATCTGGATTTTTCTTAATTTTCTTCTCTATACACTCCAGTCTTTGAATAGCCGTAGGTTTACTATTAGGGAGTTTCAAGTTGTCTTATTGCTATAAATTATAAAGTAATCAAATTTTATATTGGTTACCAATTTGAACTAAAAGGAGTTCCAAGATTCGAAGATCCCTAAAATAACTCCGGAAATCCTAAAGGAGTCTTTGTTTTCAGGAATATTTTACGTTAAAAAATGCCATTCCTTTAAGATAATTTTTGTTTTTTGGGAGTCATCTTAATATTATTGTCTGAAAAAATTTTTGGACGTTTGATGTCTGACTGCATTTTTTATCAGGATCATGTACAGCACAGCTTGCCCAACAAACTACCAATGGAACCAAAGAACAATATTATCTTATACTCAATTAGATTTTCCTGTCTGTTTTGATTGCCCTATCAGCCTATGCATTTTTTAATTTATTACTGACATATGTTACAACATTTTACAATATTATGTTGCAAAACTTTTAAATCTATGTTTATAAAAGGCATGAGAACTTGTTAAAGTAAAGAATTTTTGCTGATCGTGCCATTGGAATACTTTATATACCCTTGTATTCAGGCTGTATATATAAAAAGCGGTTTAATTCAAAGTATAATGCTTCAGACCAGAAAATTTATTCATAAAAAAGAAATCCACAACAATAAATTGAAAAAAAGGCAGTTAAATAAAATCCATTCAAAAGAATATGGTAAATTAAAAGACAAACCTCCAAGTGAGCTCGACTTTATCGCCAGCGCAGCTAATCGAAAGTTATTGTAGTTATCTAATGGAGTTGGAAATTACTGAAGCTCGAAAAGTTACATAAAGAAGTTTGATTGAATTGGCTGTTAACTTTAAATGGATATGACTTACTAATGGAAGCAAGGAATGCTTCTAGCGTAACTTTCGAGAATTATTGAAGTAATTAGTTATTGAAAAGCTTACGCCAAGTTCTGCAAGTTATGCAGAAAATACATGTACTAAAAGTTTTGTAAGTACTGTTTTTTATAATTCAATTACTTTATTTGAAATTTTGTAATACATAATTTTGCCGGAAATTATATTATTTTTAGACCAATTTGTGAAAGTTTTCAAAATGAAAGGCATGCAATTTTTACTTAAACTCTTAACGAATGTAAACAGAACATCCTATCTCATCTATTGCAATATTGAAATATTTTGAAACAATCTCTCTGTTCATTGCAAAGACTTACATTGTATTTTTCACACTCCCATCTAACTCTTATGTGGCATTGGCGACATCTTCGAGGGTTCGTGGTTCTTTTAGGAAAATGGCCATAGGGAGTATCCAGTATACTCTTTGGCAGCGAACCAGATAGTTTGATAGATGTGGATCGTCTTTGTATGGCTTTGTTTAAAGCTCTGCAGTAATGGCGGACAATATTTCTTTAAAATAGTAGCCAATCTATTTTGTCATTTTAATTTGTAATCATATATAGTTTCTACGCATTCCAACTGTAACATTTATCATATGGGTAAAGAGTACCCACCACTATTTTTTCCATGTATGCTGATTCTGTTATTATTTAATTCTTAATCGAGTAAGTCCACACCTCCAATGATCATAATATCCAAGATCTTTTCTCTTCATCTCTTTGCCTTGTCTAAAAGGACATTTTTTGATACGATTATCACGAACTGTGACAGTAGCTCTGATACTTTTTTGTTTCAATGTCAGTAAAAGTTCATAACTCGCAAAATAGTTATCGAAAAATATTGTGTGATCAGTTGGAACTGTAATAATACTACTTGTGTAATAAACAACTTGTGGCAGCTTATACTTTTTCGGTTTCATCTGTTCTTTGTTAGCAGAAGGCTTAGCTCCGCAGTACGTATCAAAAGCATAACAGTAGCCAGTAGAACTGCACAACATCCAATCATTGTAGCCAAAACGTACGGGTTTTTTATGTAATAAATTGCTTCGCCGAATGGTGGCCAACGTATTTGACCATTGCCTCACCGATGGATAAATTTTCATGAAAAATGCCCCATTGTTGAAACTTAGCATTCAGTAAATCCATAAGCGGTCGTAGTTTAGACATTTTATCAATTTGGT